GTCGACGACGTGACGACTGGTAAAGGCGACGCGTTTCTTCGGAGCGGCCGTGGTCGAGCGCGACCATCGACGAGATCGCATTTGGTGCATCGCCAGGAAAATTGCACGCTCCTCCTTGTGACGTCGTTATTGCCAACAACTGGCCGACCAATCGGCTTGCTTGCGTGGGAGGAACGAAGAGGGACGTAACGAGAGAAAGAGAGAGGAGCAGAGAAAGGAACGGAGAAGTAGGTGGAACGAGAAGAAACCCGATTGGTCCTACTCCCGGAGGATATCGTGGCCATAGAGGCTCTCGTCCACGAGGAGAGAGACGAGTCCGAAATAAACGATACAGGGATTTTTGGGGGGGCTGACAGTCGGTGGAGAATCGAACGTTCGAATTTGATTCCAAAGGACCGAAGCATTTTCCTTGTCGAGTAAAATGCTGTGAGCGAGATCGTTGACTTTTTAACGTGTCTTTAACCGGGCAGGACGATTCAACTGGTCGTTCGAATCGTCGATCTCTGGGACCAAATAATTCGTTTATTCAAGAATCTTCTACCTTTCCACGCGTTATTACATTTCATATCTGCAAAGAGTAAAACCGACCCAACTTTATTCGCTCGTCTTCCTTCGTTTCTCATCTCGTCATCGTGGCAATTTCTTGTTGGAGGATGACTCGGGCGATAACAGGTGAATAAATAACAATAATAAAAAGTTCACGCTGTCTCGTTGTGAAGTAACGACAGATGTCGTCAGGAGTAATTCTAAAGAGACAGAAATCTACTAGTTAAGCGTCGTATGTAACTATAAGATTTACCTATGACGAGTCACATGTACGATCTTCGAAGTTGCGCAAACTAAATGGCTTACCGATAAATATTCCAAAGAGAATCTTCCGACAAGATTTAATCGATCGATCGTCTTACAGGATAAAGTACTAAATAATGTTAAACCTACTAGACTTTTCCGATATACGTATCTGCTGAAATTTATAGCGACGAACAAAGGTATCGGCGTAGATTTCACTTTTCTGCAAGATCTTGCGTACATCTGTTCTACACTTACAATAAGTCAGAAGTGTACGAATACTTTTGTCTCTTATATGCTATATCCTAGAAATGAAAAAGATATTCCAGAAAAGGATATTCCAAGTAAGAAAAGCAGCTTTGCACAGCGAAAGGTAACGATCTGGTATTAAAAGCTGAATCGAGAGGAGATCTCTCCTCCGTCGGTCCGTCGTCCATCGTCGGTCGTCCGTCGACCGTCGGGCAAACCATCGAGGGTCCCTTTCCCCTCGTCTCGGGCTTCATCGGTGGGCACGATCGTAAAGCAACAAGTGTTAGCAGCTCCTCGGCCCGTCGCTCCGCCCCCAACTAGCAGCCGCTGCTGAAGCGATCGGTGGAAAGTGCCCCGAGGCGATTCAACCACCTCACTCGAGCGTCGATCGCGCAAGCAACTAGAAATCCTCGACCCACACTCAGGCTTTTCGTTCTTGCGTACTTCGTTTCGTTTTCCTTCGAGTACCGAAAGACGAGCGCGATGTTTATGGTCGCCGCGCGATCCTGACACGCGCCACATACCATTCGTGCCTCCATCGAGAGTGATTACTTTTGTCGACTCTGTCGCGCGAGACGAAGTGACAGAAGTGTCGGCCGCTTGCCCGTGCTCGCAACTACCACGAAAATCTTCCAACAGGTTCGACACCGAGTGGAAGAATCGCGAGCCTCGGCGAATTTTCGCCTACAACCTGTGACGATCTATGCATCGAATGTATATAGTGAATTTCGTGCACGACAACTCGAGAAGTCTTCGTGGTGGCGTTTAAAGATCCCTGTGCCATTAAGATCGTGGAAACGTGAATCGGTGGTAGCTGGCGAACAGTAGGATCTTACGGAATCGGAAGCGAGCGTCGATCGCGAGAACCGAGGCTATCGGAAGTATTTCGGCGATAGAAGAAGTTCCGAGAAGTGACGGCGTAGGATCGAGGCCGAGAAACCGTGGAATACGCAGCATTCAGCTTTGGCTCGTGTGTTCTGGAACGTCGATCGTTTACAGTTGAAGAGAGAAGGAGAGAGTGTAGCCGATAGTGGAAGCAGAAGGAAAAAAAGAGTAAAACGGGCCGATACACAAAGAAGAAGAAGAAGAAGAAGAGATTAGAATTGCCGTGGCTCGAGTCACGACGAGAAAAAAGTCGTTGGAAGATAGGCCGAGACCTCGGCGAGTTGCCGACGGCTTGGCATGCATACCCGTTGCGTTTGCTCGGTTCGTAATCGAGTGCAAAATTAATTAAACGTGACAAACGTGCGCGCCGCGCTCCGATACCAGGCCATCTCGCGTCGGAGGGAACGAGCCGAACAGAAAAGAAGAGAAATCACCGACGCAGCTGGAACAGAAGCGCGAGAAACGGAAGTGACGTGTTACCGCAACGATAAAATGGTAATTGCAATTAATCGATGAACCGTCGCTGGGTAACGTGCACGTTCTCCTTCGAACGATGAACGCTCGTAGCGCGCGATAAATCCGTGGATTCGTCGGACGCGCCATCGTTTCTCTCCTTGCTTTCGCGACCGAACAAAATTGAGAGAAGATGAACGATATCATGGGCGAGGCATCCGGTTCGATTTCGTCGAGCGGCGCTGCTGCTAATTCCGTCAACTCTAACAGCCCTATCGCGACTAATAGCAATGGAAGCAACGGTAACAACAATAATGGAAAAGCGTCGGCTGTCGCTGCTACAGTTGCCGCGAATGGAGGCGAAAGAATCAGCGCAGCGGTTACCAAAGTTCTTCAGGGATACGATTGGACCCTGGTACCTGTCGCTACCAAGTGAGTTTTACGTTCGACGCTTTCCACATAACACTTGTCTCTATAATCGATACGCAATTTCCGAAGCGACGAGCTTTACCCGCGCTAACTAAATACCCGACAGAGTTTTGCGTTATCTCTACTGTCACGTAAAAAACGCGAAAGCTTCTTCTCCTGCATTTCGCAGCGATATTTAGCAAGCGTCGTTAGCGTTCGCGAAGACGCGTTTTAACGCCAAGATTTTAACGCGCAGCGGAAAGAAAGAATAAAACGATGGAAAGGCAGGGAGGGAGGGAGAGAGAGAGAGAGAGAGGGAGGGTGTAAACGCGCGCGGTCCAAGCTTTAAAAATACGTAACGCTAACTTAATTATGACGCACTGGTTTCCTCGGCTTGGGAAACGGCTCGTGGAAATGTGTCCTCGGCTGCCAATTAACGCAAATTAGCTAATTAATGCCCGATCTCGTTGCCTCTGTCTTTCCTCTCTGTTTCTGTCCGTCGCAGCGCGTCGATCGTGATTTGTGAGAAGCGCGGAGGAGAGCCCGCAAAGGATGAGAGAAGCGATACGAGAAACGGCGTTTTTTCGTTTCGCGTATCGAAGGAGGGGACGACGAATTAATGGTCGGCTCGTTGCGCCATACCGACGATCGTTACGATTCGATAAAATCGAAACGCGGATCGCGAAGGGATGACGCAATCTTTCTTCGATGGCAACGCGAAGAATCGTTATTCTGCGATGCAAATGCCATTTAAACGTAGCCGCGAATCTTCGTCGAAACGATTTTCCAAAATTCTGTTACGGAACGAGCATAGGTGTACAGTTAACTCACGGAAAATTTCCTAGCTACGGTTGAAATCTCCGAGCGTGTATCGCTATGCGCGACGGCTTATCGCGCTAACCCTCAATTATACAGGGTTATCTCGGGGTAGCTAAAGGGGGTACGATGTTTATTCCCGACGATAGGGCCCGATAAAATCGACTAGTTTTAATTCCCATGAAATCCATGAGAATGCAGTCGAACTATCGCGCGTTTCCTCCTCTCGCCCCATACGACCGTGTAATTCCTCCACGTTGCTCTTTCTCTTTCCCCTATCCTGCAATTTATCGTTTACCTAGAGCTCGTCTATCTTTCAAAGTCCGAATCGCGACTAGCATTTTCGCAACGCGAATTTCTTTTGGTGATATCGCGTAACGGAGAACGGAACATCGTGGAAAAGAAAGAGGCACAAACATCTCTCTATTCCTTATCTTGCGACTTGCCGTCTAACGAAACTTTATCGTTCCAATGAAATGCGACTAACTTTTCGACATTGAAACGCGAAATTTCCTTTCACGAAATCGCGTAACGAGGAACGTAACTCGGTGAACGAAAAGTCGTAGAAACGAAAAAAGGGTGCAGCTGCTGCGTAGTTGGTGCCACGCCTACGCACGTCAGCTAGTACTCCGCGAAACCGCGTAAACGAGGTGCAAAGACTCGAAGATTTTTTGCGTATCTAGGTAAACCGCGTACAGCGAAGTGACTCGCGATTGCTGTGAAAACCCTTGTTAGTGGACCCGCGCTAATTACCAACGGCTCCTCGGGTTTGCTCACGGATTTAACGCCCCTCTTATTTCAAAGAGGCCGAAATATATACGGGCCTCTTTTCTCAAATTCTTTCTCGGCTGCTTCCTTCCAATATTCGCTCTCTATCTCTTTCTCTTTCCTTGTCGAACGTTTCTCTTTCTCCGTGACACACCAGAGTCTTTCGAAACGGTTGCGGCTGTGCTTTTTAAAAGTCTCTCCACCTTCGGCAGCAGGGACAGCATCCCGTTGCCGACAGGTCGTCCGTACGCGTATCTCGGTGAAGCGCGTTTCCTTCGGTTCCTAGCCGGTCGACGTCTGGGGTTTTGGTTCGCGTAAGGTCCTCGAACGAGGCTCGATTAATCCCAGAAAGAAAACAGCACGAGAAGGGCTTGTACGGCAATCACGTCAGTCACGTCAGTCGATCCCTGGCTGGACGAGGCAACGGTTTTATGAAGTCATCTTCTAGGAAAGAAAGGGATACGTCCATTCCTGCTCGTCACCCGTTGGCAGCGCCGGTGTTATTTTAAGGCCGGTTTTAAGCGTGCCGCGTTCCGCAGGATGACCCAGGGGTAGCTTGGTAGAAAACTCTCGATACACGAGCACGAGGATACGTCGCGATACCACCGACCTCTTGTTATTTTCTCGCAACCAGTGTCCCCGGATCGACGCGTTTTCCAGAATTTCTATCCCTCGAACCTTCCGCCCCTCGTCACTGTAATTCCTTCTTGTCACTGATATTCGGTACTTCGTAGCTGGAAGGTTTTCTTCGAATCGGCAACCTGCTTTCCGAACGATTCGCAGGATGACTTGAAGATAGTTCGACTGAACATTTTCTATGCACGAGGATACGTCGCGATATGACTAGCCTTTGGTTATTCTCTTGCAACGACTGTTACCAGATCCATGTATTCTCCGAAATCGAACGGATTGCGGCAATAAAGAAACAGCTCAAATATTTAAGTCGCATTTATTGGGAGGAAAAGAAAGGCATACAGCGGCTGTGAAACACGTATTGACACGGTACTATAGTACTTTCATACGAATTAATTTGATCCAAGAATTTATATTAAATTTTGCATCGATAGTACTTTATATGGCTACAAAAATCCCATATACTGAAACTGAAACGTAGACCTGATAATTACCTGATAATAATAAAACAAGGGTATGTGCAAATACCTTTTATAGCCGCTGTAGCTGCCACGCGATATCGCATGAAATATAATTCATATATAAAAGTGCAGAAGTTTATTGCTACGAATATTATAGTCGACCAACAATTCCAATCAAATTACTAGAAGACGAAGCTGCTTCCTTATCGCAGCAGCCTCCTCGATCTCTATTTCTATCTTCCATCCAAACGTTTCGCTTCTCGCTACATAAATCCTTTCACGCCACGAATGTTCGATAGTTAATAACTTGAAAATTTCCTTGAAATTGGTAATGGGAATTTTTAAACGATCTCCCGTTTCCGCGTACGCGCTGTATTCGAAGAAAACAATTGTTTCCAATGAAGATAATGTCCTCGAATTGCAGGGGTTCTGGTGATAAAAGAGCGGCCCACGTGAAGAGACCTATGAACGCGTTTATGGTGTGGGCTCAAGCTGCAAGGAGAATACTCGCCGATCAGTACCCGCAGCTTCACAACGCGGAACTGTCCAAAACACTGGGCAAGCTTTGGCGGTGAGTCTTTAGTATGCTACTTTTATCGAATCGACCGGTGGTTGGTTGATCGCGAGCGAGACTTCGATTCTGATTTCTTCGGCAACTTCTCGACTTCTCGACTTGAAGCAACAGTCCACGCGACCACTTGTTGCCTCGTTCTATTTTTACCCGCGATTTGGCGAGCAAGCATTTTTTACGGGACGCATACCGAACACATTCTTACCACGTGGCGCCGAGGCTGCACGTGGTACGATCGTTCCCGGTTGACAACCGCGCGAACCCCGAACTCGTTGTAAACGGGTCAGCGTTGTCAAAACCGGAGCTAAAGGCGGAGTCACGGCTTGTTCTATTCTAGTCTAGCTTTTAGTACAGCACGTGGAAGCGATACGGAAGAGAAAAGTAAAGCGACGTCTTTGTCAAATTTCTCGATAACTTTTAGACTTTTTAGATAATGACGCGTTCTGCTACTCGAAAGCAAAATACGATGCATCTGAATACAATTTTCTACGAAAATCGCCAAGCTATCGTTGTACCAAATAACAAGCGACGCGTAACGACTGTTCGGTCGATCGATCGATAGACGACGCGACGGAAGAGAAAATGGTATACCGCACGTTGTGAAAGTCGCGAGAAGGGAACGATATTCCATTTCCTGATCGAGACTAACGAGATGCCCTGGTGGGTCGCGCGAGCGAGGATCACAGGACCTCGCCGACCACATCGATCAGAACCCCTGCGGTGAATCATTTTACAATGCCGCCCGATCGCGATTCCGATCACAGATATCCCCCGCGTATCTCTGTCTTAACGTCAAAATAGGAGCACAACACGACCGATCGGAGTTTTGCCGCGGAACTTCGTTTATTCGAAACGGAACTTTAGTTGCTGCTCGATTAAATAAATTACAATTTGTTGAGCTCGTAAGAAGAGAGTCTAGCCATCGATACGTCATCAATCTGAAAGTTGAAATTCACGATGAAATTCATAACGGTACAATCAAAGATCGGTTTGTAAATTTCGACTTTTATAAAAATCTTTCGTGCAAATAAAAAAGCATTTACCGACAACGACGCGACGTAAGGAAGGAATAACGTGCCTTTCGAATCCTGTCGTTTTGCGTGGAGCGTCGCCGATGTGCGCCGAGCAGCTCTAGCCGGCGTCGTCGGATTATTTGCAAAAAGAAACGACTTGCGGGCTACTATCGACGTAGTCGATATTTACGAGGGACCAGGTGTAGGCGTCGGAAATAAATCTTGTCCTTTTTCTTCCGGCTCGAAAGGTATCGCGTTCGAATATTAGACACGGTGTTTGTCGACAAAACGAAAACAGATAGGCTCGGTTCATCCTTGGCGCGTGCTAACAGCTGCCGGCCGGTTCCTGCCTCAGATAAACGGCCCCCAAGAATCACAATAAACTCCTTGTCCCCGTCAGGTGAATTTTTCCGAACCTGCCCCTTCGTCGCTCGACGCTTCGTGCAAATAACACCCGTGACGAACAGGTAAATGCATCTTATCTGACGGAAGCAACGTCTCGATTTTGCCGCGGTTTTGCTTCACCCTCGATACCTCGAACCTCAAACACCATCATCGCCGTAGCCATAGACGCCACGACGTTATCGTGGCTCGTTTTCATCGCGATTTTTACGTACAGTGTCAGATACACCGGAATAACGCACCGCAGATAACGTATAATCGCGTGGCGGAGAGAGACAGATCCAAATTAGCTAACCCTGCGTTGCATCTGGCAAAGAAAAAGAGAGGCTGCGACGAGTCGCTATCGTCAAGCCCTGCCAAACAAAAAAACCTCGAGGCAAAGTCCGTTGACCAGATGGAGAGTCTCTTTTCTCTCTTTCCCAGTGACGACTCGCGCGCGTTAACCTGCGCGTGTACCCGAGGAAGACGAGTTAACTCGTCGTTCGCCATTGATTTATTCTCGACGTAATAACGCTTTGTTCGAGAAATTTTCAAATCGTACAAAATCTTAAACGTAAGCGGTTCGTAGTCTAGAAATTTCTGGTGAAAGTTAAAAGACCAGGTACCGAGACTTTGCGTAGATATTTCCTTTCCTACCCTTTCGTCTGGTCACCTTCGAGTTTGATACGGGGTAGAGAAAGGAAACGCGACGCGGGAGGAGCAAAGAGCCTAGAAGCGTGGAATCGTTGCTGGAATCCTCGAGATCTCGCAGCCGAGACCGGAAAAGCTTATCAGTCTTGGGGCTTTACGAGCCCAGTGGGAACATAAACACGAGAAATTAAAGACTAACACGACAAGACGGGACGGAGCTGGATGAGACGAGACGAGATTCGAGTTGCGATGCAGTCGAACGAGAATCGCTCGAGTTCCCGTATATACTCGATGTACGCGTGTGCGTGAACTGCGCCCTTTAAGACTCTACGCGGCGAGAAACACTAACCAGACCTCCCATTTCGACTCCTCGAGTGTATCGCGTATGGTGATAGAAATGCTCTCGTTCCAGCCTCTTCTGCGCCGCATATACGCGAAGAAGCGGGTGCGCGCGTGTGAACCTTGATCGACGACCGTCGATGACACAAAACGTCGCAAGATCGCGCCAATTTCGTCTGATCTCTTGGTTTCTGGTCGTTTGATCGCAGGTTGCTGTCCGACAGCGACAAGAAACCTTTTATCGAGGAAGCCGATCGTCTCCGCGTGATTCACAAGCGCGAGCATCCGGACTACAAGTACCAACCTCGTCGTCGAAAGCAAAACGGGCCGTCGGGTCGAGAAGGGTCGCCGTCGAGGAACCAAAGCAACGTGACCTTCAACGTGTCCAGGTCGTTGAAGCAAGAGGACGCGAGTCCTAGGGGCACACAGGGACCGAACTCGCCTCAGAGCGGAGTTAGTTCTTCTCCTCCGACTACCCCTAATCAAGGATTGTCACCCCCGACCCCTCCCACTACCCCGCGCGGACAACATTACGCGAATCAGGTAAGGACGTTTGAAACGGAGAGATATGCGAGCCTGTACTTTCGAGAAGAACCGATGGAAACTAAAAAGGAAGGAAATCTGGTTCACAGGGAAATCAGCCGCAGCCAAATAGTACGATGTATCAGCAAGACTTGGCGATTGGTTCGTCGAGCGATTCACCGCATCAACATCAACCAGGAGTCGACTTCAGGTACATCGAAGTTGGAGATGGTTTACCAATCGAGGAGGGTCAATTGAACGGTCTTGGGTCTCTGGGCGGCGTCGGTTTGAACCTTCCATTGAACCTTCAAGAATGCGAAGTCGAGAGCAACGAGCTGGACCAGTACCTTCGGCCTCAGGTGCCGGCGGTACACGTAGCCGCACCAACGACCACCTCCTCTCAATGGATATTCAACAGGTAATTGTTTCTTGCGTTTGGTCCTGACGTAGACGAGGCCATGTTTTCTCTCGAGCCAGCACAGTTGCTACAAAAAGTACAGATAGCTTACACTTTACGAGTTTTTTTATCTAGGAATTTCTATCTTAAATCGCGCACGGTGAAAGTTAATAGGAATTCCCCTTTTTTTTTGAAAAGCGCCGGTTTATGTTTTAGGCTAAACGATTAATTTTAATTTGCATCTACGTTATAATCCAGCTGGAACAATAATTTTAACGTGTGCATAATCTGTGTTAAATATCTTGGAAATAAATCTCGAGTGTATTTATAACGCGATACGGACAGCCCAGTGTCGTTCTCGTGGCAGAACTCGCTCGTATGCATGGGGTTTTGTTCGAAAATTTCGAGTCGCTGAAATATAACGTTTTTCAGATACGAGGAGGAGATCGAGAGACCGAACAAGCGACACTGCTCGGAGCAACCGATCGCCGAGACGTCTTGGGAAGACAGAGCGCAGGCGGACATTGTCAGATACCACGAGCTTCAGCCACCACTTCCTCCTATGCAGTACATATCCTCTTCCCATAATCCACACTATTCGCACACGACTACGCAGATGAGCCATCCGCACGTGTCTACGTCCTACGCGCAATACCAACGTTACGTACCTGGTATCGAAACTTGGCCCCATTACATGTAGGAACAAAGAGAACAGCGCGATACGCACGTCATCGCCCAATCGACATTTTTCCGGAGATTATTCTTTGGAAACCTAAATGGTAAATCGTGTCCCCATTTACGAACTAACTACATTATTAAGTTTTCTCAAGGTTACATATTTTATTGCTGACTTTTCCAAGCGTGTCTGTATGTGTGTGTGTATGTGCACGAGTGTGTTTGCCGTATGCATGGTGCGTACCTATGTGCGTACGCGTACACTGCGTCCTATAATTATAAAATCACAGGAACAATTTCAATCAATCGTTTAAATTTCGACACGTTCTTTTCACGTTCTAAAAATCGACCAAATCAAATAAACGTAATCGAATGTTCTATCGTTATTGAATATCACGCGAAAAGTAGAGAAGTTATCGTTTGCAGCGGTTACAAATTGATAGTATTTTGTGATAATAGGTATGTGTGGGCAGGTGAAATTTCAATCACGACAAGAGTTAACCACGACATATAAGAATTGAAAATGTTTAAACGATGTTATCATTACGATGTAGTGTAGTGTGTTTGTATGGGTGTGCGCGCGTATTGCGTTAGCTCGAGAGCGGAAACTGGATCGCGCGAAGTCCAATTAATTAGAAGTTTCCGCGTTTCGAGTTGAACACGTTTCGCGATCGTTGGACGTTTGGAGGACATAGAGATGTTACGGCGCGCACAGCCACGATCTTACTCCATGACATCATTCCATGACAGTCGGCCATTCCAAAGCGCAGAATTTCAGGCTAAACAAACAGCTCGCTCGATACGGTGGCCTGCCGCGCGATCTAAATATAATAATAATATATAAGGCTTGAAGTGTAAACCGGCCGCTGCGCTGGCGAGTGCGATTCGGTTGCGTATCGAAGCTGCCACGCTCTTCAAATAAACCTGCGAAATTCGATCGGTCGTAGTTGGATCGCCAAAGTCACGCGACATGGCTGTACCACGTCCACGTGGACGTCCTCTCTGCGAATTTCGAGTTCGAAGATGCGTCAGGCAGAGCCGTTGGATTTCTCGAGAAAGGAACACTTGGTTAAAATGTCCTATCTATCATTTTGAAAACGAAGAAAATCGAAATCTTGTTATTTCCGCGATGTTTGCTTCTTTTCGTTCGAATTAAAATACCTAGGCATTGTTTCGTAACAGTCTATAATTATTATACGTAAGTATACAAAGAGATAATGTACTATTAACGTAGCAATTAATTAAACGCTTCAGATAGTGGCAAAGACGTAGTAGCAGTGACATACGCTCAACATAGCCCCGCACATTCGTACATTTAGATTAATCGATACGAAATTACCAGGTGGTCGAATACTTGCATACAGGGATGCGCATACTGTTTACGATAAAACGTTTTAAACGTTATAAACAATGATATAATAATACAAGCAAAGCGTTATAAACGAATAAAATTATTTGACAAGCAATTAGGGCACATAAATCAGACTGTTTCTATATCTCTGGAAGAGACACAGGGTTTCGTAACCTTACATAAAAGATAAAAGATACGTTTTAAGAGAATTTCGAGCACATTAACGTACGTTGAAAAATGAAAAAAAAGCTAGATAAGACATTTTAACCGACGATGAATCGAGAAGAGGGAAAAGTTGCAAGTTCGATGGGTTCGTGTCGAGCGATGATCGACGAGACAAGAATCGAAGCACGCGATCGTCGCGGTAATTAACGCAGGTATTAACGCCGTATTCGTTATGCTACCCCGATAGCCGTGCTTTTGTACTTACATTTATCGTTAGACATACATATGTATTTATCGCGCCGCCTATAAGAAGCGCGAAAAGCGTAGAGCGTGTAGAAACATTTGACGCGCGAGCGTTCGAAAAGTTAATTTATAAGTACGACGGTATATTCTAAGGTTTGTCGGAATAAAGAAAAGAAAAAAAGAAACTGTTACGAGTTGAGAGATAACGATTGATCGTTAACCCTTCCTTTTCGCCAGGCTATCGTCGAGATTTTTCTGCCTGGCTTGCAGATAAGACCAAAGGATACACGGTGGTAGAAACGTGAACGTCGTTACGCGACAGATTAATGAAATCGAATAAGACGCATCGAATAAAATTTTTATTTGCCAACTCGCTTTTATCGACGATTAAAAAGGTCTCGGAAGTTCTGACGAAATGACGTCAGATACGAATGAAATGAAACATAGAGGAAAACTGAGCTAGACGCGCTAAGGACCAAGCTACCGTCTATCACAATGTTACGAATACTTGAAATTCTTTAAATTGCATCAAATCGAGGAGAATCTCGGTGGAAGAAACAACGAGAAAGGAATTTTTTGCGGATCCTTGGAATTTCTTGTCCAGGTTGAGTCTATATTCGCACTTGACGCGCATATAGATCTAAAAATGTCCTGAAATACTCGGCGAAATACGGAAAACAACGTTTTTTTGGAAAAAATACAAACTCGCGTTGAAACAATTGATTTGATTTTGACGAATTTCCAGTTGATCTCTGTTAATCTCTTTGTGGCAGCAGGCCCTTTAATTTACCTTTTCTTTGTCGTATAAAAAGCGCGTGATGTAGCAGATCATTTAGTTATCGCAGCTAAAAGAGGTTGCACTTTGGTGCGATACGACGGCAATTATATAGCGCAATCCGTTTTCTTTGCAAATCTCGCCGAGCCAAATGAAATCGGTCGAATCAACCGGGTTGGTTTTCGCTGGTCGCGCGTTATAAACCACGATATAAAACAAGCGAAAAAAGCCAAATATTTGAGCGGTTCGTTGAACGGGGTTAGGGGACGAGGGAAATAGAAGAACCGCGAATGGACCGTTCTAAGTTTCCAAGAGCAAACAGGCCTTATCGCGGAACGAATATCCGTCCAACGAGCGAACGTGGGAATAGTCGTGTCGCGACTTTTACGCCACTTACCCGCGTCTCGAGATTAAACGGCTGGAAGGCCCTCGTATGTTTTTCGTCCAACGCGTGACGCTTCACCGTTTTTCGGCCCGAGGCGCCTTGGAATCGACGTTTCCTCTTCTACATACGCTGCCGTTTATAAGTATTTAAATACCTACGATTCGACCGAAAGCTTGATACTTTCGTTACACGATAGAGCCGCCCATATCCGAACTAGTAGGAAGACAAAAATCATTTTTCCGATATTTCTGATTTTTATTCGCGCAAACAGAGACGAAGGAGATCGTCGGCTGCCTCCGACATCCAAGGTGACTCTGTATTCTTTGGCCGCTAAACTATGTGAATTTTCGACGCGAGAAGACACGTCTTCGTCATTTTCATTTGCCACTTACGCATCTTTGCATCCTACACATTTAAATCTACCGTAAACGTATAACGATCCACGGTCTAGAAAGAACCGCGTCTCCATCATACGCCGTATTTACATTTGCATCGTGTTCGACATCGATCGTCGACGTAGAGATATCGCGTTGGGTGACGGTGAATTTTTTTCACCGTCGAGAGAAAAACGAGAGGATGAAAAAGTTGACGAGAGTCAGCGTTCCGCGCAGCTGTTTGGTTTTTTCGCGGTTGTTCGTGTCGAGATATGTTCGTACATAGGAATGGATCGGCTAATTCGCAGCGTTCTCTCTGCGTCGAAAGATTTGCCCTGTCGATCTTCCTGGAGTTCGGTAAAGTTACGTTACCACGAGGATTCTTGACCCCGGAAATGGAACGCGCCTCGATCCATCTGCCACAATAGATTCCATTGAGCGAGAGACGGTCGAGTTTATCTGTCGGTTGGTTTCGGAGCACACCTTTTATCGTGGACCGAAGATTTCCAAGATTCTTCCGCGAATGGGAGAAAAAATGTCGAAATCTCGGTCCGGATACGAACTAACCGATGGACAAAGAGGCATTCAGTTATAAGTTATCGGGGCGCTCGGTCGATATAATTAATTTACTCCGGGCTCGGTCTCCGCACGCTAATCACCGGCGCGCTTTTAATCTCGGAATCCATAAATATCACGATGCTGAAAGACGGAGGAGGGAATTCTCGCGAAAGCAGGAAGCGATCGCGCCTTCGACTCGTTTTTCCTTCGACGTTTCTTCGTTGCTTCTGTGACCGTCGAGATACATCCGCGATTCGGAGCGCAAATACGCGAGGTACCGTTTCATTTTGGAAAGTTGGCGTCGAAACCCGACGTAGACGTACTCGTCTCGATAGCAACGACGGATTTTCGTATCGTTAGCCTCGGACGTGTGAAAGTTTCGAAGGCGATTCGAAGCCTGGAATTCTTGAAAGTCTTGATCCGTCACATACGAAGACTTTCAAGAGTTCCGAGCTTTGAATCGCGTCCGAAGCGATTCGAATTTTTCGTCACATAGAATGACTCACGAAAGTATTTAAAGACTTTTACGTCCATATTGTACGTGCTATGTAAAGCGCTCTAAAGTTTCGTTAATAGCGTGAGACACGATCGTCGCGATCGCATTAGTAAAATCTGTAGGTATTAAAGACGATCCTACCGAGCTTATAATCGATTTTTTATATCTGGAACGAGCCAGAGTGTGTCAAGTCTATTCTCGAAAAGAAGAAGAAAATGACAAATTTTTTGTATAACAATATAAAAATGATATTAAATTGAGACACTTCGTTGCAAGGTTTTTGCAGCTTTGATTCGCTTTCCTCCAAAGTTTGAAGAGCGTGCGATTCAACAGACTCTGTCTCCGGAGTGCAGATATACAGATGCATCTCCGGATTCGTTTCGAGTTTCACCGACACGATCGGACCGTCGTGTCTCGCTACAGTGCGTTTGTTCAAGTTTACCAACGAAATTTCAAAACGTCTTTATAAATTGCAACGCGTATAACGTAAAATACGTCTATCATTGGTACGGTTACCACTTTGAGCTTAAGACGGCGCTGTTTTTTCGCGTAGATGGGGTCGGGAAACCGGAGGACTCGTGTTCGGAAATCGGAGTACGTTGACATCCTCCTAGATTCAGTGTACGATGTAAATATTTGCCGGCAAGGGCAGATAGGATCGATAAATTTTTGGACAGTTCGAGCATTATTCGGTGCGCGCACAAAGAGTCGTAAATCCTTGTTGCAGCTGTCCCCCGATTCTCCTATTATCGCTCGGTTATATTTTCCTTGCTATCCATTCATCGGAATCTCGACGCGAGCCACGCGAGACCGCGATACACGCGATACAGCAGAGATACGCGTTCGGCCTAATCTCGATAATGCGCGCAACCCTTTGCCTCGTCTCTCCGCTCTTCTTCGAAAGCCCGAGAATAAAATTGTTCGTCCCAGCTCGAACCAGCTCGCTGACAGACAACGAAGGCATCGAGCTCCTTATCGCTCTCGTGCAATCGTATCCCTAATTAGCGGAATAATTAACGTAATTTGGAAAACGGTCGAAGACTCGTCCCTCTTTTCTATTTCTTCTTCTTCTTTCTTTTTCTCTTCAGCGAATTACGAACGTATTGTGTTCCCCGTTTCGTACTACGTTTATATCGCTCTTTCGCAAAGTTGGCTAATATCTCCGATGGATGTGATCGGCGTTGCGCGTTGGTTACATCGGCTGTTCTTTTCTGTTATAAATAATGTTAGTATTAGACGAGATTCGTACGAGCAACGATGAACATAAATTCTATTAGGTTGTCCGAAAAGTGTCTTTTGTTTACAACGATGCAACTTTATGCAAACATGAAACCTAATACGTCGAACCTTGTCATCTTTATTTTGATAGAACAAAATAATAATAATAATAATAATATAAGACGGAAATCCATTATTTGCTTAAAAACGAAAGAAACTTTTCGGACGAACTAATACATAAAGCGACTACTAGAAAATTTTAGCGAAATTTAATGAGATTTATAGATATCGTTCTAAAGGCGCCAATAACGTCGACGTATCCCATCGTTGAGAATCAAATAAATTAAAATCTCTTTTCCTTATTGTATAGCGAGATTCTTGTTGCGCTGGTAATTCGTGACAGCTACGCTTCGACATTCTGAAACTCTTGTACTGGTTTTCTCGCCTCAGCCTTTCCATTCGCTCGCTTTGTCTGCGATTTCGCTTCGAGGACCGTCGCCTGTCATCGCTGGAGACTCGCGTGAAATCTAATCGAATTTGATAGATACGTACGATAGGTGCCACAAGGGGAACAGCCACGTGTGAATTTCACCGAGATCGAATACCCATACACGTTGGTCGTTGGTTCGGGAACTACATGATCGACGCTCTTTCTCAATAGCAAGTCAAACAGAGTACCATCGGTTTATCGTTGCGTTACCATGGTAATTATGCGACAGATATCGATAAATTTTCCTCCGTGCTGACAGTTTTTACGACCATCGTATCTTCGAACAGGATACCTGGCTACTTACGGTAGATTCTGACCGATGGTATTCAAATGGATCGCGTTTTACCGCCACCCGAATCTCTGTCTAACCTCAATCTGAAATTCCTAAAAGTCTTTCCATTGTAATGTGCGTCTTAATCTTTCTATTCTTTAGCGTAAGATCGTAAAACAAAATAATCGGTCGGTAACAAAATAATCAAATAACGAGATAGAAATTAGATTAGATTAAGATGCAACGCAAGGTGTAAGATTCTCTATTAACGATTAACAATTTAAATGAATTGTCGGTGATTTTTATAGGAGTTCGTATAAAAGTAACTTTCCAACGATTTTTACTTTACTTACACGTAATCTATCAGTAAATCAGTTTGCACGTTGTTATACACGTGCGTCCGTAGGTCTAACTTTGAGGATCTAATAATCTGATTTTGGGGGTCTAATTAGGACGATGTAGTAGCAAAAGTTCATAACTCGATGCTCTTAATTTTACCATTCCGTTCACCGAGAAACAGTTCGTCCGATTTGTGGACACCGAAACACTATCACCACACAACGGTAAAAAGGTGGAACTAGTTTCTCTGTCTGTCTTCGTCGCACACTATCGCCCTCT